TTACTGTAGAGTCATAAGTAACGACAGGGGAACATTCTTTCATAAATGCTGAGACGTAAAACAAACCGTCGAACTGAACAACAAAACAGGGACAGAGTCTGACCCTGTGTCGACTGTGCAGAGAGACGACCTGTTGTGCTCAAGAGGAAGAATTTGGGGGCCGTCGTGAAAACCTGTGCAAAGCACGACTACGTTCATGCAGTTGCGTTGCATGTCTTGAACTTGGATGCATTCACTGCCCCCAAGTCCTGAAACCTAAATTCCACTTTCAGCACGCCGGCCGCCCGTGTCCGCGTCTGACCTCTTCCCTCGCTTTCTTCTTCTTCTCTCTTTCTCCACTTGGTCGTGTCCTCCTCCTGTTTTTCCACTCGGGTCGGGGCCGGGGCCGGGGCCGGGGCAGCCGAGTCAGGGAAGTGTTATTGGGTTTACATGGTGGGCAGACAGACGGGCAGAGGGAACTGAGCCAGATGGATAACAAACGGCACCCACTAAGGTGAAAGAGAGTTCTGACTGTGTGTGCGTTCGTGTGTGTGTGTGTTTGCGTGTGTGTTAGTGGGCAGGAAATGTGGCTGCCAGACCGGGCTCTCTGACATTGTTGGGCCAGTCACTGTGGTGCCAGTGAAGAGATGAACACAGCTCCGTCACTGCTTGGCCTCCTCTCTCTCTCTCTCTCTCTCTTTCTCCCTCTCTCTCTCCATCTCCTTCTATCGCTTTCTCTCTCCCTCTCTCTCTCTGAAGCAGCTTTCCTCTCATACTCAACTCCAGAAACATTAAAATATCATGAATGAAGAACTGGAGATAAATATCTGCTGCTAATTTTATTATTTCTCTCTGGGGGCTTTAACTTTTTTTATCGCCCAGCCTTTCGTCGCTGTCTTTTCTACTCGACATCGTGTTCCCACTTACGGTCAGACAGTGCGACTTGTTACCAGTCGTCTGTGAATTTACAGGCAAAACAACGTATAAATCACGGATGTTATTACGTTTTCTAATCGGTCACGAGTTGTTTAAAAGAATCTGTTTGGCAAGGAAGGGAGAACGAAGTACATGAAACGCCTTTAGCTTGTCATGCGTGACGGTTCTAAGCTTTTATGACTCCTTCTTACATCACAGAGTCTTCATCCTGTCTCCTTCCGGGGGATTTAATCCCCTTTTCTTTTTTTTTTTCGTTCTGTCTCAGCCACTGATAAAACTTGATGTTTTTTATAAAGCATGTGACTCCTGTTTGTTTTACACTAATTAGCACTTTTTTTTTACTTAAATACTTCGCGGTTGACTCACTAAATAAAAACGATGTGATGTCAATGCATCAAAGCTGGGTGGGTCGAGATTCCTCTCGTGACATGACTTCATACATCAAGAGAAAAAGTGTCAAGTGCCGTTCATTCAACATTAGCCACTTGGTGGCGACAAATTCACTATATTAGGTTTCCTTCAGTGGCTTGATCGTTAACACCCTACGAACACACACACACACACACACACACGCACGCACTGCGTTTTTGAAAGGCTTGGTTCGTGTATTCCGTGTGGCTAGACGTGCAGGAGCCACAGGCTGTCATTGTGAGCCTTGGTGCTTGAGCTTCTTAAGCTGCTCTACACGGTGACTGTGTAAAATAAAAAAATAAAAAAAACATCATTCCTGGAAAGTTAAACCAGTTGACCAGGTAGCTAATTGTTTGTGTTGGGTCCAATGCCAGGAACTTTTTTTTTTTTAAATATCATCCTCTGTGACATTAATCTCACCTGGAGAGTCATTGAATTAACAAACTGCGAGATGTTGAGATTTTTAAATAATTTTTAATATAAAAAAATCATTAATATTCACACTGCCTCTATTTCCCCTACTCTCTACTAAAGAGTTAGAGGCATTTCTTTGCACAAAAACACAAAAAAAAAATCTAACTTTTTGAATGAATCTCCGTATGTCAAAATGTTTAGAGACTGATCTTTTAATTTAAAAAAACTTGTCTTTGAAACTTCAACATATTAAGACAGGTTTTATCATTGTCAATCTACGCAAACATCAAATTTTCACCCTAGATTTTTTGGTCTGGCTATAACATTTGTTTTTTTTCTCCCTTTTCCCCAAAACTTTAAAAAATTAACTTGATTAACTTTATTATTTTTTTTTTGTCTCATTTGTCTTGAACCTTTTTAACTTACCCTCATACGTATTGGAAGACCACTGCAGTAGATACATGTGTTTTGTATCTCTCTCTCTCTCTCTCACCCTGTCTCTGTCTCTCTCTCTCTCTCTAAATTCCAGGCGGTCTGTGGAGTGTCTTCACGTTGGGTGGAGCTGGCAGTAAAGCAGGACTGGACCAGGAACACGACCCCTTACCGTTGTCTAACCAGAGCCTTTTGTTACTGCTGGTCTTGGCTAATCTGACAGATGGACCCGACTGGCCCAACCCTTACCGCCAGGCCATCACGTGTTTCAGAAACACACAGGGTGAAGGCAGCTACCGTGGACACACCTCTGCGTTTCCTCCACATATCTGTAAAATACTAACTGCTGTCCCGTCCTCTGCCTCTGTAGACACGTCGTCGTTGTCCATGGAGCAGCCGCACGCCTTTCAGATCAACTTCAACAGTTTGTACACGGCGCTGTGCGAGCAGCAGCGCTCCGATCAGGCCACCTTACTGCTCTACACCCTGCTGCACCAGAACGCTAACATGAGGACGTATATGCTGTCCAGAACTGACATGGATAATCTGGTGGGTAGGATGGAAGTCGAAACATTTTGACTTTCCTGTGCACGAGCCAAGGTGCATTCATTATTCATAATATAAAAAAAAAATCTCTGACTTTGACGCATAATTTTATAGCCAGGTGGAGGCGAAGAGCCGTGTTTGATCAACGTGTAATTGGCCGGGCTTCAAAAAAAAAAAAAAAAAAAAAGTATGTAGTAAGTAAGTACAGGCATAGTGTGTGTAGAATGTTTTTTCCTTTCTTCCACATATGCACATTAAACGTTTCATCTAAGGCCAATGCAGTGGCTCAGTAAACATGTATACACTGGCAGCTGGTGCTCTACGTGCACGTGGGACTGTGCCAATTACGCCTCACAGTAAAGAGCCAGGTGATTGCAGTCAGGCATTCACTGAGCAAAATCAATCTGTAGCTCAGCGTGGAGGAGAAAAACATTGTGTTAGTGTTGAAACAGCCCAAAAATGTGGCTTTTGACACAGTTTGAGTTTCTGTCAGGAAAATCAAAAGTAATTATACTGTTTTTGTCTGCGTCACAACAAAATATGATGTTTTAGTTCCCATGATTTAAACAATTTGCAATTTTCTCAATTCTTCACTTATATAATATATATATATATATGATATTAGCATATACAGTATATATTTTTTTGCTTTATTCAATATTAATGTCTGCATAGTAAAACACCGTCATTAGCAGACGTGGCATTGGTTACTAATATGGAAGGGCTGCTAATGAGTCCAACGTCGTTCTCTGGTGAATAAAGCAGCGCTGCACAACAACATAATGAGCTAACAGTCAAAACTGTGTGGCTTTTAGCTGCTGCTTATTCTGATTGGACAGTTCTGTTCTCTTTATACTAGCTAATTGTGAATTTTTACAACAAAAGTTGTACTTTGATGTTGCTTTTTAGCATCACAGGTTGAATCAATAATGAACTGATATTTTCTGTGTAGCTTATCAATAATAATAATAATGTTCTGCTACCAACAAATCTGGATACAGGGGCTCCTCAGTTTACGATGTCCTTGACCTACAGTGTTGCGTGGTTTCGTCACCATCTCCCATAAATGTAGTCTTGTCTTGTTCCAGAAGTACACCGTTAAAACTAGCTCACTACTTAGCTCGCAATCACAGTGGACGAATATGTTGCTATGCAGCGGTGTATGTCTAAGACAGGAACAGAGCTTCGACATATGTCGAGGAGCCCCCCTGTATTCGACCCAAATGCCACAGGCATCAACTTTAGAAATTAAAAAGGACGATGGTTTCTTAGCAGGCAGGGGTTTTAAAATGTAATCAACGACCTGTCAAAGTTGTAATCCTCCACTCTCCCTCCCTCCTCTTCCTCTCAGGTGTTACCTATCCTGGAGATCCTGTACCACGTAGAGGAGAGAAATTCTCACCATGTCTACATGGCCCTCATTATTCTCCTCATCCTCACTGAGGATGATGCCTTTAATCGCTCCATCCACGAGGTGGTGGGTAGACGACGCTCAGCACACCCTGCTCACGTTTTAGGGATTTTCCACTAAACCTTCCATTACATCCTCTGCTTGGGTAATTGTTCTCTCCCCCCTCTCTCCCCTCCGTCTCCCATGATTCCTCTGTTTTAGGTGTTGAAGAACGTCTCATGGTACACGGAGAGATCGCTGACAGACATCTCTCTGGGCAGTTTGCTCATCCTGGTGGTAATTCGCACCATCCAGTTCAACATGACGAGGACCAGGGTAAGATTCTCACTGATGTAGGAACAAATGGATGAGCTGTCGGTGAATTCTCTGGTCCAATAAATACTTGTTCTAAATGAGAGATAAAATGACGTACGGTTGAGGCTGAGATCAAGCAAATAAACACTGATCCAAGATCTTTTGTACTCTAAGGTACGGGTTCCCACAGGTCTTTTGGTACAAGGCCGCACTGGGACACAATGAAAAAAATGTACTTCAGTTTTACTAATTTACTTCATTCCAAAAGAATCCAGTCATATCCCTTTACTGTTTTCATTCAAAGATAATCTGTCAATGTTTCACAACAACAGGTCAAAGGTCATTCAGACTCTGATCCTGACAGAAGAAAGTCTGAAAGAGGTTCGATTTAGATAATTTAACAACCCTTCAACGATAGCACGATATTACCGGTCCGCAGTAATAGCTGATACCGCTTAACTTTTTAACTTTGGAGCGGAAACTAGGGCTCGATCACACATTGGTTCACACATGTTGTCGCTCAATAGTCATGATTAGTCATTAATATATTCACCCGCTCCTTTGCTTTTTGATACAAATACCTGTGAAGTGACGTTGATGTGAATATCACTGTGAATATCAGTGGATGACTGAATGCTCCGTCCTCAGGATAAATACCTCCACACCAACTGTCTGGCTGCACTGGCCAACATGTCGGCCCAGTTCCGATGTCTGCACCAGTACGCTGCCCAGCGCATCATCAGGTGAGGGGAAAAAACACAACTACCGTTGTCTAGATATTACTGGTTTTATTGTAATAAATTCCAGGGTTTTTTTTCTGACACGTTGCTGATTTCAAATTAAACCTAAACCTAAACCTTACTGGTCTATATGAACTAAATCACTGCCTCGTTCAAACTGGAACCTACAATTGAACATTGATTTGCCAAGTTTGTTTTGGTTTGCTTTACAACCACAGATTGCGACCACTTCTGTTTTACTGCAAAAACCTCAGTCAGCAGAAGAAAAAAAAACTCTGGGGCCCAACGTATATTATCTACATACTCTATTTGCTGAGGGGGCCTTTTTCCCCCCGTACGATAGTTTATATAAAAGACGACAAGAATGCATTTCAGTCAGACTGGAGGCCCAGCCACGAAGATATACATTCTATCATTCATCTGAGTCTCGGGCCGAGACCCTCCTCACTGCATGTATGTGAAAAATGTCTCTCCACACCACAGGAAATGATGTGAGGGATGAGCCGAAGTTTCTTTTTCATTTACTGAAATCAACAGCACCACTGGTGTGTATCATATCTAGCTGGTGCGTATTCCCCTTTTATTAATTGCTGCCTTATGAAAGCGGGATGCCTCAGAACAATCATCTGTAATGAATAAAATCATCTCAACCGCAGAAGCCAATGGAGAGACAGAAATTGCACAGAGAGACGGGGAATAGAAACTTTCATCCACTCCACATACAAACATGCTTTTGAATTATTCATGAGTCGGCGTAACCTATTTATTATTGCAACGTGGAATAATGGGGAGAAAAATAATAATGAAAAAAAAAATGTTAGAAATTACATTTTTACAGAGGTGTGTCTGGGTATGGAGAAAAGAAAAACGTTATGCAACATGAGGGAGTTGAAGGAAAGGGTTTGGCCTGAAAAGACAGGGAAGACTGGGACGACCAGATCCAAACCACACACACAAACACGTGCCTGAGACAGACATCAAATCATTCATGTGTGTTTGTTAACTTCAGACACACCAGGGAAAAATGTTTCCTTCCCCAAAGATGTGCACACATTGACGCAAGCACACTCCAGGGTCCTCTTATCAGCCGGCCCGCGCCTCTCTCTGTCTGAGTCAGGGAGGCACGTCGTACCGTGTGCGAACGTCTGCGTGTCCGTGTCACGGTGATGCGGAGTGACTGGCTGCATGTCGGATGATAATGATAATGATGATGATGGCTGTGATGGTCTGGGCTGGGTCAAACTGGCTGCTTGGCTTCGAGATAAAGGGAAATTTCCTGGCAAGAATTTCCACATGGCAGCCAGACGCTCCTGAAGTCTGCTTTCTAATTGACTCTAAGAGAATCGCGGCTGGAGCTGTTTATTTACAAGCTGCAGTGGAACGGTTTGCCCCGGCCACACGGCCTGCAGTGGTCGGGTATAGTTTTGATCCTTTTATCTTTATATTCCATTTGGGCTCCGTTCGCTATCATTTTCTGCCAAAGGCAAAATGTAAATATTTAAAAATGGTGAATATGTGACACGGACAGATATCATAAATTCTTAAATCGTAAATCATACCTGCTGTTCCGTTATGCTCCCCCTGCCCTCCCACAAACACACACACACACACAATGCCCCCCCTGCCCTCCCACAAACACATGCACAGTGAATATTGAATGCACTAATTACTCTTTTACCATCAGCAGTTTCACTGCCAAGATTTCAGAACTTTCAAAACCTAAACGACATTTAAATACAACCACAGCGCAAGTTATGAAATCACTTTGTGCAGAATTCGCCGTATGATCTCGCATACTCGTGACCACACGCTGTGGGTGTCCAAATAAAACACAACTGACAGAGACAGACACAGCGCCTTTTACTTTTTTTTTTCAAACTTGACCACGTCTGTCAGTATTTTAGCCCTATAGCTGATGTGAGGATTAGTCCAGCCCCGTGGAAATCCTCCTACGTCTATAATTTCCTGCCCATGTCCGTCACTGCCTTGGTATTAATAAGGGATGTGAAAGAGCAGCTAGTCAAAGTGTGTTATTGTGCTCCGGGGTCCCAGGTGGAGCTCCTTTGGTGGTCTCTCTCTCTCTCTCTCTCTCTCTCCTCCTCTGAATGGAGCAGATAGTACAAGAGATCCTATTAGGTGAACACAGCTCCTTTGACATTAGGGCCGTAGATAAGGTAGACCCTCCATGTGGCTGCTCTGATACCACCATTCAGCTATCATTAGGCCAATTAGCCTGCCCAGAGAATGCTGAGAGATGTGATGTGTGTGTGTGTGTGTGTGTGGCTTTTCCTAACTGAATGGATGGACAGGTGTTGTTGCTGTAGAAATCAATTTGTGCATCTCAAATTGCACACCCTCGCATGTAGTCTGCATTTGTTATCCCCTGATTAACACTAAATATAAAAGATGTGCAGGAGTATCTTCCAGCAACACCACCATCTGCCTGTGTTTTATCGTTTCTTTTTCTTTTGTATCCATGTTTACAAAAGAAAAAATAGACAAAGGAGGAGACAGAACTGAAACCCACAGCAATTCTACTGCATTAGTAGGGAGGGGAATACACAGAGCTAGCCTAGCCTAGCCTAGCCTAGCCTAACTGAACCCAGTAGCCTGAGTATTATAAGATATTATCTCTACATAAAACCCTTTTATCATTGTGTAAAGGGTAAATATAAAACCCTTTTATCATTGTGTAAAGGGACATGAAAATGACCAAAATGTAGGAGAGTTTTGTTAAATAAAGAATTAACAAAAAAATCAAAACAAATTTGATTGAATTTTTGCTATGAAGGTTTTTTTGGGAAGTTCTGCTTCACAGTTTAGCAGGCGCTAAATGCTATTGTGCTCTCGTTGTCATTAGCACGATCCTGTTGGCAATTTCTAGTCTCTACTAAACTAAATTACTGAATTACGTTATTTGAAGCCGCATCCTGTCATTAAGTTCAATGAATGTACAAATTACATCAAATAAGCCAGAAATATCAGCTGCGTCGCTACAGTGTTATTTTTTTATGTTTAAAATAAAACGAATTCTAACCTTGACACAGTAACAAGTTTAGATTCATTTAAACAATATTATTTTCTCAGTGCACTCGAGTAGGTACTTATCGACCAGGTGTTCTGTTTATTACCACCAGAATCTGTAAATTCTGTAGAAATCAGAAAAAATGTAGTTATAATCATGTGGTGTTTTTTTGGTACTACAACATAAAATAATACAAATGTTGCAACCTTTAATACATTTGTGGAGAAATTTTCCACGTAGGACGAGTCGACAGTGTAAAAGCAAATCTGTGCAAATTTCTTTTCTTTTTTTTTTTTTGGTGAACACACTTGTCATGTAGTTGCAAATGTCTGTGGTTTAAAAGCTGCCATTAGGTCCGTGTTTGTGTGTCTGTCTCCGTGTCCGTGTGTGTGTGTGTGTGTGTCACACAAGCTTGTTATCTTTACCCATCCTGTTGTTACTAGCAGCCAGACTGTGTGACTCTTGATGTCCTGCTATCACATACCACACTGCAGTCCCATCCAGACAAGAGTGCACACAAATGGCCAACTGTCACCTCCAGAAGAAACAAGCAAAGACATGTGGCTTAGTCAGAAGCTGGTTTACAAAGTGGAGCTGTGATGTGAAATGTGTGTGGTATTTTGGGTATTTTTTTGACGATGACATTATGTATAAGGGCCGTCCTCTGCTCATCAGCAACAGTAATTGTAGCAGCATGCTTGTATTTCTTTGGGTGTAGGTGTATTATGTCTTCATAGAAGGGCATCATTCATCGACCATTGTTTCTCTCCCCCCTCTCTCTCTCCCTCCACCCCCCCTTACCGTGTCTCTACTGCAGTTTATTTGCTTTGCTTTCCAAAAAGCACAACAAGGTTCTGGAGCAGGCAACACAAAGTCTCCGAGGCAGACAGGGAGACAACACAGCCCTGCCTGACTATGTGAGTACATTTGCATGGAGAAAACACACACTGACGACACAGGGTACACACTTCTTTCCTCTGGCTGCCTCTGATTGGTCACTTTCAGCTATGGGTTTTTCCAAATAACTTCACTCATGCAAATCACTCCCCTATAGGACCATTAGAGGATTATCCTATCATACGCCACAATCACACATCAATGTAGCAGTTGGTGACAGTTTAATAAGTAGTTACAGGAGTTTGCATATCACGTATCTAAGCAAATCAAGAGTGGCGTGAAAATCCTCCATTCATCATTCAGGTCATTTAAGGCGACTGCTTGAACTACTCAAAGTTTAATAGAAGACTTTTTTTTTTACATTGGGTTCCTGTATGAGCAGGTTAATCTGCTAGCATGTTTTGTTAGCAGAAATAAACATCAAAGAACTGCTGCCAAATGTTCATGACCTTCATTTTCTTAGGTGATATTGTAGACAATACAGTTTTATATTTGTGACAGACTCAGGCTTGGAGTTACCTTAGGACAGTGGCGTCCAAACTTTTTTGGCTTTGAAACTACTTTTCAAATGACCAGGCTAAAATGACGTACCTACATTAATAACAAGTACTGGTAGTAGTACAAGTACAGTATTGTAATTTACTACTGCTATGGTTTACAACTAAACTAAATTCTCTTTGTCCTTTAAAAAGTCTGTTTAGATTGTTTACAGAAAACCAGCTTATGTTTTCAAATGTTAGTATTTGCCATTTTTTGCCTCAGGAAGAGAGAAAACTTTACATTTTCCAGCAGCAGACAAAGGTCTTTTCAAAGTCATTGGCTGTAACTGAATTATATAAAGCACCAAATGTATTAACTACAGCTGCACATTTTATTTCTGCACCATTTCTTTGTCTTTCACGTGTTACTTTCTCAGCTTTATCTCCCAGATTGAATTTGCATTGAAATTGTTTCTGTCTTTAGATGAATATTTAATTTACGAACCTGTGCGTTTAACTTATTTATTCACAGCAGCGCGAAAGTAACGTAAGGGTTGGCCAGGTAACATCCGTATCAATCTGAATTGAAATCTTAATAGCGTCACTGCCCTGATCTGGCACAAAGTGTTGGAAACTAAAGCAATAAACCAACAGTGAAGTTGTTCCCGTGAAACTTGATTAACATGATAAGACTCATGGTAACATCCACCCCCTGACCAGTGGGTGCAGTCTGCTGACTGTTGACTGTATATTAATGTGTATTTGTGCTCAGGCACCTCTGCCCTGGGGTTTGTCTGTCTACATCGCAGTCTGGCTGTCTCATTAGATTTGCATGCTTTTAAATAAGCTTGTGCAAACTATAGTGTTGTGTGCGTTTCTCTGTGACTCTGTGTGCGTTTGGCATCTGGAGTTGTTAGTGAGTCCCTATACATGCCTTTGGGTCTTAGGGAAACAAGAGTGTGTTTTCAAGTGCTCTTGAAGGCACGACAGCTGTCTGATGAGAGCTTACAGACAGAGTTCTGTGGAAACACTCCGGCTCATAAAAACATGAAACGCTGTCGTACAGTTTTTCATGTCTCTATGACTCTGTTGTGTACACAAACAGAACACGATAAAAACAATACATGTCATGATTGGAAAAAAAAAACATTTATTTAATCCTCTGTATTTAACGTATGACTTCAATATGCTGCTGTCAGTACAGAATCGTGCTGTAATTCATAATGATCACAAATGTCCCTTAAGGTCCTGTTAGTGCAAGGTCACTATTACAACATTAATGTTTGTTGGAAAAATGAGTGGATTGCCCAAGGCGGAGTTCCACTGTGATCATTTCATGGGAATTGTATCAAAGTGCATTTCTTGGAAAAGTGTCTGACATCCTGTCTGGGTCATCAGACTTAAGAGAGAAAGAACCGATGAGTATTTCTGATGTACTCATCCTTGAGCTTAGACTATACTAACTCGCGACGGCACTGGTTCCCATGTCTACACAGGTTCTCACTATCTGGACCCAAGAGTTGTTCTATCTGCGTGTGTGCACTTACCCCTTTGTCCAAAGCTGAGCGTGTCTGAGACACAGGGCGAGCGTTGCATGTTTGCTACACACTTAACCTTCTCCATGTGTTTGGTAGCAAACATCTTGTTCTTATTCAGAAGTGTTTCTGATAAGGTCTGCTCTGTTGTGCCATCTTCAGGGAAGAGAAGCCTTTCAGTCTGGTCTCCATTCTCACTTAGAATGTTTTTGTTTGTACTTGTTAATCACACAGATAATGAGTTTGAATTTTTTCCTCATGACCATGAAACCTTTAAGAGAGTCTCATTTATTATTACAGACTACTGGGTTTCAGACAGTGTGTCAGCTTGTCTGGTCTTTATGTTGGGTCTGTTTTTTGTTTTTTTTTCCTAGTATTTCATCTACTCTACAAGGACACGTGTTGTTGTTAACGTCACCTGGTATGTTTACCTGCATAGTGAGGTCTAGCTACAGTCGTTGTTAACGGTGCTGTTCTTGGCCGTTTACAGTTGACAGTTTGTCGTGGTACAATAACAAATGAAATGTAAATGTAATCAGACCAGCGTTGTTTTTGATCACTAGCTCCATCCTTTAATACAGGCGTGGGCAAACCTTTTGAGATGGGGACCGGGTCAGGAGCAGATAAATGGAGCGTTCGTGTGAACTAAGATAAATGACATGTAAAGGTGATGCATAAAGGCTAAAATGCTAAAAATGCTGTTAGCCTTCTCTACGCCATCTTTTGGGGAAATGCAGGCATTGCAGGGAAAAGGCAGAATTATAATGATAATATACAGTACATTCATAACATAATTTGGACCAGTTTGGTGGGCTGGATTTAAAGGCCAAACGGGCTGCATCTGGCCCCCGGGCTGTGCTTTGCCCATGCCTGCTTTAATAGCTAGGCCACATGCTGCCTAGCTGTCGTAAACATACGAGTGGGCAGCGAGTCACCAACTATATTTTTCTGGGCATACACCTTGGGTGCCTGACACACATCACTTATTTCATATTTGTTTTGGAATCCGGTCGTGGGCTGGATTGGATTGTTCAGTTGGTCGAGATTCGCCCACGGGCCATCGGATGATTATCGCTTTTTGATATGATATGATGTGGCGCTTTGGCCCAGAGGCAATGTCTCTGTCATTGGTGTGGAACCCCAGGGTTCACCTCCTGGGCAAGTTCGAATCCCGGTTCATGGTACCTGTTACACTGCATCTGTGAATGTCTGCTGGTTTCCCAGTAACCTCAGCTCGAGAGGCACTTAGCCAATAGCTAATTCCTGTTAACCTCACCGTCCTTTATATTATCTACCTTTTTAATTAATTATCTCTAAAAAGGCAATTATTAATTGTTTAATTAGAAATCTAATATTTACCTCTGTTTACTCTGATTACATTTCTCATCATACCATCCTGGTAAAGCTAACGGAATGCTAGTTTCTCTTTCTGCCTTCTAGCGGCAGCACACACACACATCCTTTATATTATCTACCTTTTTAATTAATTATCTCTAAAAAGGCAATTATTAATTGTTTAATTAGAAATCTAATATTTACCTCTGTTTACTCTGATTACATTTCTCATCATACCATCCTGGTAAAGCTAACGGAATGCTAGTTTCTCTTTCTGCCTTCTAGCGGCAGCACACACACACACACACACACACACTCACACACACACGACAGAGCAGTCTGTTGTTCCTTCATTTCTGACTTCCTGGATGTGTCTCATGTGACCACATCAGATTTAATCAGGCCTCCCTCGCCCAGGATTTTAATACAAACTGACGTAACGTCTGCGAGCTTAAATAAAACACTTTTTAATGGCTCGACTGTACAGATGCGTTTGGTGATGAGACGTCTGTGTGAAAAGGACATCATGTGACCTTGTGTTTATGTTGTGGCAGTGGCTTTGAGTAAATAAACATGTTTGCACCGAATGGTTTGGAAAAACTGTGAAACCACACGGTGGCGCTTGGAGTTTGGCCGAGTGGGAGGATGACTACAGGAGAGTTCAAGACTTTTTGATGTCATTAATGTGATTTGGCAGCGTTTTTACCGTTCCTGACACAACCCAGAACCTTCCACGTCAATATTGTCGTAGTCGTGGGAAAGACACAGAGAAGAGTGTCGTGACAAAGTTTTTTTTTTTTTTACTCACCTGTTCATTTGCACAAGAACTGATCAAGCTGGCTAACTAGACAGGTCAAGAGAGAGAGAGCAAATGTGAGAGTAGAGGAGACAGAAGGACGGGGATAGGGCAGGAAAGGAGGAGAGAAAAGGAGAAGAAGAGGGAGTTGGTCTAAGTGTGTTTTGCGAGGGGCATCTGGAAACAATGTCGTTTGGCTCAGACTGACTCTGGAAAGGGAACCAGTGTTTGTTTAATGTGGGATTGTTATGGACATGATTGCTCTTTTTACAAGGAAAGGATATGAAAAAAAAAACACTCTGAGGAGCCTTAAGCTGTGGGATAGAGCTGGGTCCTGTCTGCTCATATCCTAAAGGGATAGTTCAGGTTTTTTATTTAAAGAGTAAATGCGCGGGGTACTGGCCTGTACTGCTGTGGCCACAAACCGGCCAGATATACTGACGCCTGCCTGAATGTACGCAGTTTTTAGAAGACATTTGCTAAGTCAAAGTTTTTGTTTTTGTATTTTGTAAACTGCTCACACCCAAATCCATAATCATTACCACCAGCTAGCAGCAGTGTTGACTCATTAGTGTGTGTAAATGTTTTGTTTTTAATTACTCTTTGCTCTAACGTGGTTGAGAAAAAGTCACCTTGGACACAGCAGTAAAATAGCGCCCCCTGTGTCTTCTTACATTTCTTTATTACATAAAATTCAAATATAGGCAAAACTTTTGTTTAACAAAAAAAGAACGAATGAAAGTATTTGGTTGATTATCTGTTTGGTAGCTGATGTGGAGTGTGAGCCGTAGCACTGATTATAAGTTATTTTTAAAAATAGAGCATCTCTTCAATTTCTCCTTTTTTCTGTCCTTTCCTCCCTCCTCGCATCTTCC